TTAGGTCTAACTGGCCATCGTGAAGGACTTCCGCATTGAAGGAAGGAACACCACGAACACCTTCCGCAGTTAGCCTGGCAGTAAAGGGACTGATCCGTTAGCCTTAGAAAATATTGTACATCAGCACTGTGGTCGGTGCGAGTTGGGAGCCTTATAATATCTTTACCATTAAATGAATCATGAATTGCGGTTGTTCAGACTTCAAAGCAATAAAAAAAAATTACAGATACATTTATTAATATATAATCTACCATAACACCAGTTTTTTAAGAATTTCTTAGTAAATTAAATAAAATTCATGAAGTATAAATTTCAATTTAAATTATTAAAATAATGCTCTACGTAAATGTATAAATTTCAAGGTTTCTTCCATGTTTATCAGATTTCTTCATGTAAAAGAATAAACGACATTGCAAGGAAACGGAGCAATCTCTCATTATTCATTTCGGTTTGGTAGAATACCTTTATCTGTTTAAGATCTTACCTTGGCAATTTGGCGGAAGGTGGAACTCCAGATTTTGGTAGATCAAGTTCCGTCGGTCTGCGCGGGGGAAAAAAATAACGAAATAAAGAAACCAAGATTCTATGAATAGAGACCTTTTCCAACTTCTCGACGCCTTTTTGGTGACATTACAATTTTTTTTTTCCTAGTTCTTTTCTTCCGGTATTTTTTTGCATCTCTGAAAGAAATAGCACAAAAAAAATTGTTTAGGGAATAGGGTAAAAAAAAACTACCAGCAGTGACTTTTTGTGACTGAAAACTGTGACGTCTTCGTGTCATTATTAATGTTCAAGTAAATTATTCTAACGTTTTATAAATAAGTGTAGGTTCGTGTCAGCATCTTTAAGGTAATCAAAATAAAACAAGTTGCTTTTTAAAGATTAGCATTTGAGTAATGTTTGACCTTCTGCTGAAGGTATACAGATGATGCTGTAACCATACAGACGATGATGGATTAGAAAAGCTAATGCCAGCTCATAAAAGCAAGTTCAAATATAAAACTGAGATTTGTATCTCTTTTATCAAATGAGATTAATTGCGCTTGAAGGCTGCATTGAATATTTTCTTTCTGTAGCTTCATGTATAGTCCATAGTCATAGCTGCCAACTCTACTGGATTTTCCAGTAGACTACTGGATTTCGCAAGTTTCTCCTGGTCTACTGGCTTAGTTAAAATTCTCATGGTTTTCGTACATTTTAGAAAACTCCCTAAAAGTGAGTAAGGTTCCCAAAAAAAAAATCTCAATAAAAATCCCTAAAATTCCCTATAAGAAAAATATTTAGTACATTATGCAGCAATTATCATGAAATTTATATTATTTCATTAATCTACTGGAATTTTTAGTATCCATGTTGGCTGCTATGCATTGCGTAATACATCAAATTTATTCTATCCCAAGTAGCACAGGGATATTGTAACAGCTTTAGTCTACATCGACCGACATTGTTAATATTGGCGAAAATCGACATTGTACGATTCCCGTCGATTTCACATTAAAAGTCTGTTTGTAAAACTCTTCATTTTAAACTTTATTGTGTTCTTAAATCAAATTAAAATCATTTAAAAGACAAAAAAATGACGTCAAATTGTTATAATTCCAAAAAATAAATTTAAAATATAAATTTAGAGGTATCCAAAATGGTGAGAGATATCGATCGCCGTTCCCCAACGGTTTTACAATATCGAACAATATTGTTTCGCGATGTTGAATATACGTTATAAAAGGGGTCCATTTTTATATAGTATAATGCTCCGCTACGATATTGTACAATGTTCAAAGCTAAGTTTTTACGATTGTGAATTGTGCTACTTTGGGTATTTGTATTGCTTTAGATCTAAACTAGATTTAAGTGAATGAGGAGGATTTCTGTCAAATCCAGCATTGTTGGATCAAAAAATGTCATTGTTCTCACTTTTTGAAAGCTAAACTTAAAAAACTTGAAAACTTGAAGTTTAGTTTTTTCCATATAAAAATAGTTTTGTTTGTGGCCTTTCAAAAACTATGCCCCAGAAAGTTTATTTCATAATGATTACTTCAATTATGTTGTTTTAGGAATTCGTTATTTTTATTAATATAAAATGAGTTAAACAATAACTTTCTAAAACTCGTCTTTAAGATCGGCATAATCGAAACTTCGTGAAAATGGAGTAATGTGTAAATCGAGACATTGTCTGCAGTCTGCACTCTGTCCAGCATTCTGTTCCGGCATCACTTCCGGTTCGGAAATAAATCGGATGTTTAGGATCCAACCTCGTCTTTTAAATAAAAAAATTTCTCGAGAAAACTTAGGAAAATGATAATTTATCTTATCATTAACACACACGTCTGGAATGGGAAAAATTCGTCAGAATTCGTTAGTGTTTTCGTTCATTAGTTAAGCTTTTATGTATTAAATTAAAGAAAGTTTGGTTTTCATGTATTAAATCAAAGAAAGTTAGGTTTTTGTAGATTAAAACAATGATTTTAATTTTCTTTTGCTTGAGAATTTATTTTTTTTTCAAATAGGAAAATGTTATATCAATTTACTTCAATCAATAGTTCAATCAATAGAAGCGATCAATAGTTTGCTGTTTATTACAATTCAAAAAACATATTAATTGAAATTTTATTTATCTTTGTATAATGAATGCATAGATATGTTACAAAAAACGTGAACGTAGCATGTTTTAAAGCCTATTTGGGATTCAACATAGTTATTATATTTTTCCAGGAGGGAAGAAAAATAATGTTTTTTTATATTTAATGAGAGTTGGGAGTAATATTTAATTAAACTAGCCGGAAAACTAACATCATAATAAATATATACATGTGTTAGTCATAGTACATCTTTTTGATTTTGTGTTTGTTTCCTGACAAGTGTCAATGAAATTGAAAACCAACCAAGGTTTCAGACTTTCTGGCACGAAAATAGCTATGAAAAGATGCCAAATCGGCCATGGACCCTTTTACCTGTAGCCTTTGGCACCAAAATTACTTCACTGTGCCAAAATCTTGACAAATGTCGTAAAACTTATTTATTTGTCACCTTTTATCAATGGTTAAGGGAACAGAATCGCCTTATATTGCTCATAAAGCTATTTCTGATTCTTACTTAAAATCGTTTTATAGTTTGAAAGAAATGTATGCCGTGTTGGTTTTCAGAACCTTCTCTATACAATTTTTCGTCTTTTCTTCCCTTTTTTTAAATTTAAAAAAAAATAAATAAAAAATAAATAAAAAAACATTTTTTTTCAAGTTTACATTTTTTTTTTCATTTTTTAAATACATTTTAAAGCTAAAAGAATAAATGTATTGTAGCTATTTATTTATATCTTATGTTATTACTATTTTTTATTTTATTTTTTCAATGAAACTGATGAATTAAAATATGTCACAACTGAGCTAATTTAATTACAAACTCGATATTTTCATAAAAACACCGAAAAATTTTTCCTTTTTTCTGTGAAACAAATTTTTACAGAAAAGTATGTAATAAAGGGCAAAAAAAATTCATAATAATATTGTAAATTAAAACCGCAATATTAGCTAAATAATTGTACTAAAATATCATATTTCAAACAATAAAAAAATAATAATATCTTAATTCAAAGATTTTAATTTAAAACATCTTTTTCCATCGAATGATTTTAAAGTGCAATGAGAAAAAAAATAGTAAATACAATTATGTATTTTTTTTAACACATGTTGAAACTTGTGTCAGAAAATTACAATTTTCATAAGATGTAATAATTAGCTTATATATTCTTCATTTATCCATTTGCGAAACACTTTTAAATAGTAATGATGACAACAATAAGGCAGTAATCAAACAGTTTCTTTAAGTTTAAAATTTCAGCGTTTAAATGTATACATATAGTACCTTTATTTTAAATTGATTGTTAAGGCCATTTATTTTTACTGTCGCTTAAATAGAAATGTAAGTACACAAAATACTGCTTTAGTTCGAAAGTCCTTAACATGAACATTATCTGGCTAATCTGCCTGATAACCAAAGGTAATCCGTTAAAATGCAGAATCAAGAGTTTTCCGCAATTTACATGGTAATTTCTGCAATTAACTGAGCATAAACAGTTCCAAAAGCTTGTTTCGCTCATTCCATCAACTAATTTGTTGATTGTTTGGTTCTGTTTATTAACTTGATACTTTAGACATTGAAAAACAAATGAATAGCATTAAGTTTATTTCTTTAATTTTAATAATATTTAAAACTGTTTGATTCTTTGTATTATAGTTTTTAAGAGACAAGTGATTGATTCTATCAATTAATGAGTTGACTGTTAGATTGTAGTAGCTTTATTTTTCTTTCGGTAATGAGAAATAAATAAATAACTTTATTCTAATTCAATCGTATAGAAATAGTGTCGTTCCAACAAAGATTTTGTTTTCACTTTACAAAGTACCTACACTGCAAAAAATTTCGAATCAAATTAAGATATAAAGTAAGGCACTTTGGATGCAACATCCTTAAAATCCATTTTATCGTAAAATCTAATTTTATTGTAAAATATTATGCAGTAATTTTTAGAGCAATGTTTATTCAATTAAAGTGATTCAAGAATTTTGCTGTAATTGTTATAGTAAAAATTACGGTTTATCAAAATGTTTGCTCCACAGCATGTTCCGGTAATAATGGATTTTAAGGTAAAAAGTACCGGCATCATGAGTGCCGGTAATTTTACCGTAAAATCTCTTGCCGATACGTTTTAGCCTCATCTGTGTAGTAGGTAATTTGCAGATTATTTAAGAAGTTTTTTTAGAGAACATATTTTTATTGAGTAATTTGAGAAGTGGGAGAACCTGTCGAGGCACTTAAGAGAATTTTTTGGGAAATTTTTGAGAATTTTTTGTCACTTTAACGGAATTCCCTAGTTGATCTGCACATCAACTCGGTAATCGGTAAAATAACTTATTTCTTTACTTAACCGGTTGTATATCTAATGTTTCTTTTCCTATTTTTAGTATTTTTAGTAAATCTTATTTTCCTACTTTTCATTTTAGCTCTCTGGGGATTTCACAGAAATGGTTATTGTCAAGCAGGATTTTCAGCTTCACTTACTGAGGTAAAATACATCTTTCTTTCTTCTTCTTCTTTTTTTTTTTTTTTTCTTTTGAGGTTTCACTATTTCTTTAAAATTATGATTTTCACTAAAAATAGATAAAAACAAATATTTATCTGACTAGGATGGACAAATGCTGTACGTTGGTGCACCTGGAAGTTTCTATTGGCAAGGTAAAATTTTATTTTACTCTGTTTACCATACGTTTCACAACGGGTTGCCGAACACTTTTCCAGCTCAAAAGCATACGCATGACATTTTATACAAGTCATAATTAAGACTTTTTACAGTAACATTTCACATTCCTTTATGCTCACATAAAACCTGGCGCATAGCAAAATGCAAAACTTGAGAGAAATCAGTTCCTGAAAAATCGAATTTTAAAAACTCGTATTTTTAAAATTTGATTAATCGGGAACTATTAAACCAATTCCGCTCAAATTTTATATTTTGCCATGTATATTTACAATATTTTAAGAGAGGTAAAAATTTTAAACCTTGCAGTTCATATTCTTTTTCTATTAGTGAATAAAATAATGAAAAATGAAAAAATCTTTACTAAAAGTTTTTTTTTTTGTATTGAATCTCGGGATAAAAAAATTTTACAATTGCGTACAAAAAAATTTTCAGCTCGTTTAAAATGTTCTCGAGATATGGTGAAATACTCATAAAATGCTCTACTAGCCAAATTATTAGGACCATATTGCGGCTAACCTATATTTTGGGGGAACGTTGAAACAAATGGTATATTTATTCAAAGAAAGTACGTCTTTGTGCTTGATTTTGTAATTTAAAAATAATCTGCGTTAATCAATTATTATGTCTGAGGTCACTGAACCATTAAGGCTAAATCCTAGAACGTCGGGTCATTCGATCAAATGTTAATCTGAAAAGTCCGTTATTTTTTTCTTTTTTCCGCACTGTATAAGATAAATGCACGGATATGAAGCCTTATTGTTAAAAGTATCTTTTCTGGCGAGTTTTGAACAGTTTCAAATTATGCTTTCGGGATTTATTTGGAATGAAGAAAGATTTAGCAAAAGTAGGGAATAGAAATTCACCCATATATGTTAAACACCGAGTTTGAACTGCGCAAAAATCGGTCTCCGAATAATGACGTAACTCTGTAAAAAATACGGTAAAAAGTAACTGTTACCATGAGTGCAACAGCCGTAAAGTCAGTTTTTGCCATAGAATTTCGCGCCATAATTTTTACACTAATATTTATTCAATTACAGTGATTCCAGCAATTTTTCATTAAAAGGGATTTTACTTCGATTTGATGCATGTATAAAGAGTGATGCAATTATTAGAGAAAAAAAAACAATTTAATTTTTTACAAAAAAAATTTTTTAGAGAAAACGGACACATATTTTAAACTCAGTTTCCTGTAAATGCATCCCTTAATTCCTTTATGGTAAAAAGTTTTTCTTAGATGAAAAGAATATTAAAATTTTAATGATTTAAGACTTTATTATTAAATTAGTTTGAAAATTATAGCTTATTCTTCATCAAATTCGCTGGAAATAAAGATTTCTTATTAAAAAAAAATAAAAAAAATAGAAATATATTTAAAGTTTTAATGTATTAAGCATTAATTGATGCCCCCTGAATGACTGGGGCCGGTACCCCCTTCCCCTTTTTCTTCGCATGCCACAGTCTTGGGGGTTGGCTTTGAGAAATATCACTTGAAGTAATTATGAATTCACTAACTTTGTCAAAGTGGGTATATGTTCTAATACCATTGTCCAGTGACGGGACATGTTTTTTACACCAATTTAGCTACTTTTTCCAGGAAATAAATACATTTTTTTTATATCTATGAATCCCGAGCTCATTGTCCGTAATGTCTAACTTCGGGATATTTAATCAATACAGTGCCCTGCAGAAGAACTACCAGTCTATGTTTACTTCTTCATTTTGAACAGTTGTCTTAAAGAGAAACTATAGAAATAAATATTTTTAATCGTGCATATTAAATTTTGATAGATTTTAATTAGTATTTTTAAAAAAAAGTTCTATGCTCGAAATGTAAACATACTTTGAACACCTCTAGGGCAGATTTACTCCCAGGATTTAGTAACGAATGCTGAAAGAAGAACTAAAGAATCTCCTCCTTCAAATGATGACAGCTTTCTAGGTAAGTTAGATACATGAAATCAATATGCAGATTGTAAATGAAAATATAAACACCATATATTGATTTATAATATTGTTCTGACCACAAAGTATATCTTGAAGGCTTTCTTGTCACATGTAAAAACGGTTTTTGGCGGATAATATGCTATTTTTATAACTGCTGTGAATTTGCAACAGAATTATTCATTGATTTTGATTATTTTTCTCCAAGCGGGAAAATCTTGCTAAGTTGACGATTTTTAAGAAAATTCAATGACTTTTAAAATATTTGAATTATTTATCTGTTGTAAAGCCCAGATAATTTCATACAGAAAGATGGTAAGTATAGTTTTAAGTTATAGCTTTGCAATATATGCTGTTTTAAATTATAGCTTTGCATATTATTGCTTTATAAGGCACTTTAACGGTAATTTTTTCATTTTATTTAACAAAAGCTTCACAAATTCATTCACTGTTAATATAATATAATAATTTTTCTCTAGGGAAAAAATTCTCGCGACATTGACAAGTTTTTTAAAAACTCTATTTTTTTAAAAAAAACACAATTTATCTATTTTTCCTTTTAAAGCTTAAAATTCCAGCTTAGTTTCAAGTATAGAAAACACAAACTGTCATTTTGTTTTTGTGAAAGCTTTAAAAAACATCTTTAAGAAGAACATTATTAGTAAATTTTGAAAATTATTGAACATTTATTTTAAATATACAGTTTGCTATTATTCATAAATGGCCACTTTCGAAAAATTAGAGCATATTCTTTTGAAGATATTTTCATGTTCTGATATCTTTTTAAAGACATTTGTTGTGAGATTTTTTCTTTGTGAAAATATTTGTGCGACTTATTGATTTTTTTAGGACATTTTAATGAAATTTCTGCGATGTTGTTTTAGAATGTTTGTAAATTTTATATTTCTCCTCATATTTTTTAGTTATTTATTAATCACATTTCTTTAACAACTAAATATTTTAGGTTATTCATCTGCAGTTGGAGAATTTACTGGCGATTCTGAAATGGATATTGTTGTTGGCATGCCTAGAGGAAATAATTTAACCGGGAAGGTAATTTTGTTATGCTATAAATCTCTAAAAAGTTGATGAATGAATATCTGGATTGTTAACATATGTTTAAAATCTTAACATTATAAGCATATCCCACGTACCAAATTACAGCACAATGTTTCTTATCTCTTAATAACTTTGATAAAATTTCGTTCTCAATTTTTTAACTTCTAAAGATAATTATTTTGTCCTTATCTTTATGATTCCCATAAAGTATGTATTAAAATGAAATTAATAAAGAGTTTAAAACAAATTTTAGACAGTCACTTTATTAAAATCCCCTTTCCTAAATCAGTCTTTCGACGACAAAACGTTCTAAGTTCTATACCCATTTCATACTTATTTCTTAATAAATATTCTTGGAGTAGTTTTGTACAACAGTAGACTGATCGTAAAGACACGGTTTTCAGTAGAACAAAGTTAAGCATCGCTAGTTGCAGTCAGTGAGCGAGTGAGTGACCACTTTGGTCAGCCTGCGTTGGGACCGAGGGTGCGCGGTATCCATCGTCGTTTAAATGTTCAACCGTAAAGTTTTGACTTCACATACAAGTCGTCAGACTACTAAAGTGGGGAAGCCATACCCTCTGCAGAGAATCAAAATTCGGATCATCTTCAAAGATGTTTCCCAGACCGTCACCAATAGCCCATTGTGCAGCTCAAGGGCAGGGTGCTACTACTACTACTTATAAATAATTGCGGACAAAGAAAATCAATGTTAAGTTATAGTGATGTAATTCCTTAGAGTTATAACAGACGCAGCTCCATCTTTCAATATAGCCTCAATTTTTTTTTTAATTAAAGTAAAGTTGTAAAGAAAAAACAATTCTTCTATCCACGCTTTCATATTCAGCGAAAAAAATTTTAATAACTATCTCTCCACTAAATATCTCGCATTAAGTTTTTTTTGTTTCTTTTAATTTTTACAGTTCTCTTTTGTTTGTAAAATAGATAAATAATTTAAAGATCTCTAAGATCAATTGCAGATAATTAAAAATTCTTGTAGAAAATATACTTTTCGAATGGAATTTTTTTTTTTCCTTAATCAATAAAAATGGAATTTTCAAGTACGTAAAATGTAAAAAAGAAATTTATTACACTTTGGGTAACAAGTCAACGATATATTATTTGCGATATAATTTTTTCCTATGTAATTTTTGACTTAGTTGTTCGATTATTTTTATGCTAGCAATTTCACTATTTACGGACGTGGTATTTGCGGACCAAAAAGCGTATTACTCAATTATAAAAATTCGAATTGTTCTAATAATTTTTGTGAAAATAAGTCTTGGTGTCGCTTACATTTCCTCAAATTTTTAGTGACATTCATAAGTTAAAAAAAAAATTTAAAATTAGGTGTTATAGACGTATGACAATATGTTTTGTCTATAACATCTAGTTTTCCATTTTAAAAAAATTACATTTCTGGAAGTTTTTAAAGGTTCGAGTAAGTGTTGCACAAAAAGTTGTTTATTTTCACAAAACTATCAGAACTGCTCAAATTTTTTTATTGAGTCATAAGCTTTTAAAATCGGAAAATACGGCAAATTTTCGTATAATGTTGAATTGCCTTTATAGAACATTAAAAGAGCTTTTTTTACATTATTTTAAACTACATATTAAAGTAACATTCTTTTCTATCAATAAATAATTTTAAAATAAAAGTTGAAATATTTTGTTTTTATAACAGTCAATAGTGTCTTATTTAAGTGTTGCCTATTGCTAATTTTTAGGCAGTTCTGTTTAACTCTCGATTGAAAAACTTGCAAAATATAACAGGAGATCAGATGGGCTCATACTATGGATACTCAGTTTGCGTGTCTGATGTAAATGGAGATGGGTATGCCTTTATTCTTTCTCTATTGCACTATCTTTAGATATAACTTCGAGCTGCGATGATTCAATATTCAATAGTAAAGTCATTGAACTGACTTTGTGAAGAGCTGGGGTTCGATCCCAGTAGCGGTTTGAAGCCCACCCAGCTTCAGATCGATGGTTACCAGCTTGTCTGGGAAGTAACAGCGGCCAGACCTCATTACTAGAATCATGCAGCATGTTACAAAATTGTGAAGCCTTAAACTCCATGTACCGCCAGGTGCACATCGGATTTTTGGGGGAATGCTTTACTTTAGTTGTTACTTTATTCAATCCACAAACTTTCTTTCAAACAAATCAACATTTTTTCAAAACAAATCAACTATTTAACTGTCAAATTAAATTGGTAAATTTGTACTGACGAATGACGTAGTCGAATGACGTAGGGAAAAACTTGTTTATCTCGGATGTTGCAGATTCTATTCCTACATGCAATTTAAAAATTCTGAATTGAATTACGGTAAAAAGTATTTGCACCCTGAGTTCATCATCTGCAAAATCCATTCTACAGTAATATTCATTTTCAGCGAAAATTTTTAAAACGTAATATTTACAGTAATATTTATTTAATAACAGTGATTTTATAGTAAATATGACTTAAATGTACTGTTTATGAGTTTTTTTTCCTTTAAATTTTACTGTAAAAAGTACTAGTACACAGGATACCAGTGCTTTTTACCGGAATATGATTCGGAATTTTTTACAGTGTACAAAATGTTTTATTTGGAACAGTTTTTTCAATAGTCAATTGTCTTGTGAGAAAAAAACCTCTATTATTATTTGCGTTACATCTGGTTTTTTCTGTGTAAATCTCAAAAATATATCTAAGGTATAGATATTTTAATAATCTACGTCAAATAATTCTGAAGTTATGTGAAAGTTTCTATCGCATTGAATGCAAACTAAACGAAATACAGCAGAACATTTCAGTTATTTTAACATAGTAAATATTATTAAACAATGTAAAGCAATGTACATAGTAAATATTATTTAACAATATAGTAAACATTATAAAATTTCCACTAAATTTAGTTTCTTTCGATCCGACTATTAAAAACAAACAAAAAGAAAACATTTAAAAAACATACTTTAAAAATTAAATTGCTAAATTATCCCACTTAAGTGATAAATCCTTTTGAAGATCCTTCGCAAAGTAAAGAATTGTCATATTTAATGTTAGTAAACGTAGTTTTACACGTAACACGTAAGTATAGTACACGTAAGTATTTTTCAACAGTATTCTATTCATTAAGGAATGAAGCCAGCAATTCACTTGGTGCAAACTAAATTACTAAATTATTTAAATTTTTATAAACAAATGCAGTTTTTGACAGTTAATTCGAGTACTTTCTGTGCTAGTAGCAGCATGTTCCGTGCTGAAAAACTGTTGAGGGTCCGGGTGGTCATGGAGGTTAAGGTTTCACAATTTTCTGACCAACAGTATTATTGTGGCAATATTGTGGTCGGTATTGCGCAACAATCGCCTTTATTTCTTTGACATGCTAGAACCCATTTATCTGAAGCAGAGAACGGAACAGCCGCTATTTACTATCAAACACCAGTTCTTAGCAATGTCATCTTAGTGCCTTAATCACAGAATCGTCGCAATTTCCATTCTTAACTAATGTAGAATTAAATATTTTTGAGAGATTAAAAAAGCATTACTCACATTTTAAATTTTACAGGTTGGATGACATTGTAGTTGGTGCTCCTTTTTATACTAATTTACAATCCAAAGAAAGAAGATACGAAGAAGGAAGAGTTTATGTTCACTACCAAAATAAAGAAGTAAGCAAAAATGCTTCTCATTTCTAAAATTCATGTGATCTTCAAGCATAACTGTGTGATCTTATCATGAATTTGTTTATCAAATAAGTACTATTTCTTCATATTTGTTTCAGCACCAATTTAACGAAGATTCTAAAAGTGTTTTGGATGGTGAATTTGTTAAAGGTCGTTTTGGCTTGTCTTTAGCATCCTTGAAAGACATCAACAGAGATGGATATGAAGGTATAATGAACTGTAAAAACAAAGGATGATCTGTAATAACCACTCTTACAGTATAATTTAAAAATCTTTTTTAAAAACTGGAAGGAAAACAAATATGCATTTTAGTTGTCGGAAATTATTAATTAAGACAGTTTTTTCAAGGCTCTGTTGTCACATAAAAAGATAACTTTCGTAAATGCCCTAAATTTGAAAGAGCACCCTCCTTACTAATTCTGAAAATGGTATAAAACGTCAAAATGAAAAAGGAAATAGATTTTTGGAAAAAGAAAAACATTTGCGATCTAATTGATTTTTTAATATTTAAAAATTTATTGCAGTGCTGCATTAATAATGTTGATGAAACTTTGCAAAAAATAGAGATTTATTCATTGATTTTGATAATTTTGTTCCAGGTGGAAAGATTCTTGCTAAATCAGTAATTTTTAAAAGAAGCTTAATGTATTTTAAAATCATAGCTTTACCTTAAGATTAAGACACTGAGGAGGATGTAACCTCGCCATCTTGGATTTTAGGTTCAAATTTTTGTTGTGTATTATTTCATTTTATTTATTTTTTGTACTTAACAAACCTTTGATAATGTTTGATTATAAGGTTTGTTTGATTACCTTTATTAGATCTTCAAAAAATATAGAAAATAAAGCAGTCTCTTTGTTAGATAATAGGTTTTGCGCCTAATAGGTTTTGGAACTTCTTTGAATTTTTTCTCAAAACCTTAAAGCAATAAAAATCTGTGATTTGTGGGTTAGACATAGAGAAACAAGAACGTTATCACAGTCTGGTGAATCATTATTGAGATTGATCAAAGTAAAAGAGGAATTAAAATCCTCTAATTGAACAGTTTAATTGAGGATATAAGTGAAAAACAGTTTCTAGTCATTCTAGGATTCTACTAGGCAAGTAGTATCAAAACTTTTTTACTTTTTTACTTTTTTGCTTTCACCTTCTATATTTCTTTAAAAGACACTTTACTTTCCTTTACATTACATTAAAAGGGTTTAATAAAAATATGAATGTTAAGAGTTAATGAAGCACTCCACATATATTTCTTAGTTTACAAATATTTTCAGAAAAATATTTGCACCAATTCTTCGATTAAAATATGCGAATTGGTTTGTAGATTTTGCTGTTGGCGCTCCGTATGCTGGCAAAGATGAAAAGGGAGTAATCTACATATACCACGGTAGTTCTTCTGGTGTCAGAGATAAACCATCACAAGTAAATATTAAAAATTAATATGTTTTTATTTTAATCCTAATTTAGTCAATTGTTATATTTTTTTCTTAATTTGGCCAATAGTTTGTATTTTAATCCTGATTTAGTTTTAACTTTGCATGGATTGAATTCCCTGGTAATTATATAGCATTTTTTATTTTTTTTGCTGAAGTTATTTATAAAATAAAAATACCAGAATCGTTCGTTATATTCTTGTTAATTTGTTGATCATTAAATTTTTTTCTGCGTTTCAAAGTTTATATAAATAAAATTTTTAACTTTTGCTTATTTAAAATACTTTTATATATTTAAAATATTTAAAAAAAGCTTTTATATATTTAAAATATTTGAAAAACTTTTATATATTTAAAATATAAATAATTATTAATTTTTATAATAATTATTCACTTTACATAAACTTAACTTTAAACGCTTAATTAGTTTTAAATTAAAGGCTTAGTTTTTTTGTATTTGTAATAATGTATTTTTCAGTAAATGTGAATTTTTGAAGCTCGATTTTGACATTGCTTTAGCAACTTTCATCTTAATGATCATAAAACGTAACATTTTGAATGAATGAAAATTAAATGAAAATAAATTATACTGTTAAAAAAAAAATTTAATATTTTGCTGCAATTAAATAGCATTTGGGTATTTATTCCTTATTTAGATTATAACTCCAGAAGATTTTCCTGGATCAAATTTGAAAACTTTAGGATTTTCTCTATCTGGCTCTAAAGATATGGATTCTAATCAATATCCAGGTAAACATACTTTGAATGTTTCTTTTTTTTAATATTGCATTAATAAATATAAAATTACATGTTTTAGTTTGGTCTTTTTTTTTAGATATTGTTATTGGTGCCTATGATTCAGACCATGTAATCTTTATGAAGTAAGTTGTAAATATTCGTTTCATTTCTACCTGTTGTAGATCCTTGCCAACCATTTTGTCCCAAAATAATATGATTTTTGAGGAGACACGAACTCTTAAATATTTGATGAAACTGCTTTCTCATTCATATGTTATCTTAGCGTATTCTGGAAATTCTTCAACATTTTTTTAACTCTTTAAAAAAAACATTTGTCACTATCATGGGATGGTACAGGAGTAAGTGCGTTTACTTATCAAGCAGGATTCATGGATTGAAATGTGATGATCCACTCATCATTCTCTTATTTCATGTTTTATTTACTATCATTGTGTTAATTGATTTTTATCACTAAGCCTAATACTATTGATGAAATTCATATCCTCAAACAAATGATAGATTGCTGAATTTAATTCCAACCAGTTTCTTCGGAAACGAAAAAAACTTCATGAATTTTAAGTGTATATTTTTACACTAAATGCTAAAAAAAATCGAAGAGGAAGAAAGATTTACAAAATCTTATGGATTCCTGTAAATATCGCTCACATCAAAAACATAGAACTTCTTGTTTTTTTTTAAATTTTAGTTTTTCTGGTAAATTTTATTAGACAAAAGAAACGAATTCAGATCAGCAGATTAAAAATTCTGGGTAATTTGAGTGGTTAGTGATTTGAATCAGATTTTATTCCAATTAATTATTAATCCTTTGATGAGTCGAATTGTAGATTCTACTGATTCTAATATTTTATAAAAAAATAATGAACCCCAATTATCTAATGTGTGCATCGCTGATAACCACTGACGTATTGGTTCTAATACTTGACTCGAAATATAATAAATCGCTCGGATCGTTGAGCTAATTTGAATAACGCTCGATTAGCACTTAACTTTAAATCAGATTAGCTTAAAATTTATTGTAAAAAAGTTGTTACTCAATTCAAAGTGTAACTAAAATTGATAACAATTTTAGCCTTATCAGTTGGGAAAATCCTAGCTTTAAAAATTACTTATTTATTCATCTAGTTTAAATTGAAATTGTTAATTTTACACATGCTTTTTAATAACTTATCGATAATATTTTTTTAATTATTAAAAATAAGAATTCTATAATTTGTTTATGGCTAATTTTTCTCTAAAAATTAGGTCTAGACCAGTAGTCAACATGACTTCCAGCATGACTCTTAGTCAAGAAGTTATAAATTTAGAAGACAAGAAATGCACTCTAAAAGACAAAACTAAAGTTGCTTGGTGAGTTATAAGCATTTTATTTGCATTATTTCCTAAAAAGGTATTTAATTATGAAATTTCAAAAAATCTATTTAAATTTTTTTCTTTCTAAAAATTTATTGCATTACAGGTAGCAATTAAATTAATTTTGTAATGTGCAAAACTTGAATTCTGGTAAATAATAATGACTTATATAATTATTTGCTTTGATATATA